TTAAATCGATGATTTGTGTTTGTCCATGCTTAACTTTCAATTGATTTTCCACAGTTTTATGTGTGGCTGGATTCGGTAACTTACCTGGGGATATGGTAAATAATAATCCCTTGTGTTCTCCATAACTTTCAAATTCTCAGTTAACAATTAGCCAGCAATTCCCGCCATATTGTCGACATGATTCTCTCTAAATGGTTACTCAATTGATTTAGTTATACATTTCAGGCATTCTGGGACGTTGTCACCAAGAAGCAGCTAGGAAGTAATAAAGCTGAGTGGTCTGTAACAAGTGAATGGTCTCCGGATGGGCGTTATTTCCTGACTGCCTCAACAGCACCAAGACGCCAAATTGACAATGGGTACGTTAAAACTTCTAGCCACATTGTTGAGTTTGGTATCTGATTCTGCTTCAGTCAGTTATTGATTCATCGATATGAGGCAGCAACAAACCAGTACCTTGGATCTTTTTATTTATTATAACCAAAGTAGAATCAGCTTGGACTGTTTTGTGATATATATATATATCCTATTTGTTTTGACTCAAGGATCAAAATATTTAACTACGACGGAAAGCGTTACTTCAAAAAGATGTTTGAGAGGCTGTACCAGGTATGTGTGTTTTTTGAAAACTGCTTTGAAAAGTATAGTTACAAAAATTGTGTTACTTGAGTGCCATGGTTCTTTACCTTACAGGTTGAATGGAAACCGGAGTCTCCAGACAGGTTCGGTGAGATTAGTGAACTTGTCAATTCAGTTGAATCATTGAAACTCGAAGGGGGCAAATCGCAAGGTCTGAATCTCGGGTTTTTAAACTTTCAACCTGTGTCTGATTGTAAGAAAGTTTTGTAAAACTTATCTTTTTCTTAAAAGAGTCTGCTTTATTTATCTTAGGACAAGGGTCAGCTCAGAAGAAAGTTGTTGCTCCCAACCCTGTTGCACAAAAACCGGCTGCATATCGACCTCCGCATGCTAAGCACGCAGCCGCCGTTCAAGCCGAGGTACTCAAAACAGTCATGAATCTGATACATAATTGAAAGGAAAATGACATAAAATTTCTCTCAGTGAACTCTTTAATATGCTTTGCTTGTTCATAACCATATATCCAATGAGAGAGGTTTTAGCCTTAAATCTTCACTGTTACAACCGTTTTCTATTGAACATATTGGCTTCAAACATCAATAAATGTCTCTGATGGTTTCTTGATTTGCAATGGCAGTTGCTTGGAGAAAGCTCAGCAGGGTAAGTCTCTCTATCTTGCAATACACATACATAATCTTAGAAACTATCTCTCTTATATTGATGGATGCTCTGTTTTGTTAATACAGAGAGATGAGCAAGAACGCTCTT